GCCACCTTGCCTGGGCAAAGAGAGCTGGATCAGCACCGAGCCAACTCCTCTCTCTTGTGTCTTTAGGCCCCCTTCCCCAAAGACTCTCCCTTTCTTCCCAGGGCCCTGGAACAAAGGCAGCTTCACCTGCCCTACCTCAGAGTGTGTGTTTGATTCTATTTGCTGTTGTTGCTATTTATGTGTATTTTATGAGCTCTCTTATCCGCTTCTGAATTTGTCCCCCGGAGCCAGATGGCCCTCGTACCATCCTGCACTCAGCTTTGGCCAGCGTGCCTTAACTCTAACTACCATTCCCCACTTCTTGTCTTGGGGAGGCCCTAGCCGCTGGTATACGCATCTCCTTGCAGCATTCAGGTGGGATGGGGAGGTTCTGATGCAGAGAGCATCCCTGAAGGCAATGCTAGGCTGGGGACCTTTGCTTCTCTCCCTTTCCCCACCCCTCAGTCTTCATGAGGAATACCAGCTTATTAGGAGAGCTCTGGGTGTGCTTTCTGAGAGCTATTCCTCCCTCGACGTTTGGCTCCTCTTCCCCTGCAGAGTCCAGAACTCCACAGCATCTAACTGCACAGGATTCTGTTCCCAAAGAGATCTTTATCCACCCTGCAATTTCTCCCTAATTTCTGTATGATCTTCTCTGGGGGGGCCTTGTGGTCCCTTAGCCATTAACAACTGTTTCCATCTCAGCCTTGTAGTAGTTCTCTTCTGTTATCTTTGACTAAAAAAATGTTTAAGCCTTGTTTTTGGCAGCTTGTTCCCTGTAATGAATTTGTGGATCTGAGCTGTGTATATAGTAGATTTTAAAAGGAGGGCAGATTTATTCTATTTATTGTGATTTGCAAGAGTTTGTTTTATGGGATGATTAATTTAATGATTAAAAAATATTAAATCCATTTGCGACTTAATGACTTGTGATCCTGGGAAAACTTTTCTGGACAGGAAGGCGTCAAGTAAGGCCTTCCCGTTGCTCTGTTCCCCTCAGAAAATGTGGGTGCGAGTATGAGGCTCTTGCTGAGCACCTGAACCCCAGAAAGCACATAGGGTAACTTCGCTGGAACATTAGAACTCACCCTATGTAAGATTGAAGGGAACACTTGTTAAGCTGCTTCCAGGATTATAATTCCTTGTAATGGGTTGCATTCCTGTGTTCATAGGGAAACTGCTTTGCTCCTGAAAAGTGCTTAGTGACTATGGGTCCTGGCAGCAGGCAACAGAGGACCCTTAGTTTTCCCCTCTTCACATTCATATTCCCCCAAGAAGCCCAAGACAGCATTTATGGCATTATATCCTCTTTTCCCTCTTAACAACCCTGTTAGGAAATTAGGCTGAAAGTGAGCCCACCAAGGAAGCTTTTCAGCTAAGCAGAGATTTAGAGGGTGCGAACTGTCATGTAGCAATTGATCTTGCCCTGCCTTTTTTCAACAGCGTAGTTAGCATAAAAAAATTGGGTCGAAACAAGCCAACGGAATGGGCCTGGCCTTGCCTTCTACCCACTGCAGGCTGACTGGGCCCTGAAGGCTGTAAAAAATATAGGTGAGCTGCAACTTCTTGTTTTCCTTTTAGGAATGCTGGAAACACTTAACAGAAGGAGATGGAAGTGTGAGCTGGGATGGGGAGCCATTTGCAGCCGCACTGAATTTAGAGCAATGGTTCTTAACCTTTTTGGGCTCATAGACCCTTTGGGTATCTGATGAAAGCTGTGAACAACCCATTAACACCTATACAAAATATTTTGCATGCACCTTTATGGCATTGGGGAAAGCTTTTTTTTTCGTTTTTGCACCTGGTTCACGGACCCTTTAAGACTCCTTATTACCTCTGGAGCAGAACCTCAGTGAACAAGCAATTTATGGGTTCGTCATCACTTCTGAAATTTGGCTTATCATTTAAACAGCCCCTCTCTGCAGAAGTGACAAATTCCATCATCTAGAGAAGCACGCTGACCATTGCAACCCTTTGAATGATCCCCTCCTGTTCACACATTGAGCCTTCCTGGTGCTGAAGAGGTTAGTTGAGACTAGTTTCTGATCTTGCTTTTCGGCTGATTCTCCCTTTGAATATGGAGACCGGACTGAGGCCAAAGACATTTATGTTGGGAAACAACTTTAAATCAGCCCCTAAGCACAGCGGCGTCTTCTACAGGAGAAAACTACAGAAGCCAAGTTCTTAGTGTTCAGTTTACGGTGTGGTGGAGAAATAAACGACAAGGGAGGCTTTGAGTAAATCAGGCTGAGAGTTGCATTAAAGCGTCTTGATTCCTATGCTCTTCAGATAGAGTATAATTGGCCTAGAAGCTCCATTCTCTCTAGGTTAGCCTCTTGAGCAAACCTGGAAGGGGCGAGCTATGCCTCAAGTACAACCCACCTCACGGCTTACTTCTCTGATACGTATATTGGTTGCTGTGGTTCGTGGAAGCCCTTGAAGCAATTTCCTGCTTCTCTCTGATGTTTGGGTGGGAGGCAGAGGTTTCGCCCTTTCAATCTGCGGTGGAATTCTACCGAGATCATGTGTCCCAATTCTGCAGCAGTGCTGAGACACCAGAAATAGTACAGCGAGGGGCGGCTTTTGTGCCGGGGAAGGCAGACAGGCAGCAGCAAAAACAACCTGCTGGGTTGAACTTTATCGCCCAGAATAATGTCCCAGCTGCTGGGTGTGGCACCCAGCGATATAGGGAAGGAAGGAAGCCAAGTGTTTTGTAACGCCAGTTGTCTGCCTTCTTGCCAAGCGGGGTGTGTGTGCGTGTGTGCGTGTACGTGCAACCCCAGACGGAGATAGCAGACGCTTTAAAAATGAAAGCACAAACAGCTGAGCCTGTTTTGCAACTTCACCAGGTTCGATTCTCTGCCAAGTACCCAGCATTTGCCAGGAAACCACTAACAGCTGAGAGTGGGGATTACCGGCAATGCATGAAAAACTACTGCTCCTTGTCTGTGAGCTGGGTGATGTCCTGCCCTTGGGAGGGCTTTGAAATTCCTGGGTTTTATGTGTACCATGATGTTTCTCCTCTCTGCACTCCTCCCAGCAGTCATTCCTCTTCTGGTCACTGCTATGGAACCAGTAGTGATGTATGGAAGTGAGAGCTGGACCATAAAGAAGACTGATCGCCGAAGAATTGATGCTTTTGAATTATGGTGCTGGAGGAGACTCTTGAGAGTCCCATGGACTGCAAGAAGATCAAACCTATCCATTCTGAAGGAAATCAGCCCTGAGTGCTCACTGGAAGGACAGATCGTGAAGCTGAGGCTCTAATACTTTGGCCACCTCATGAGAAGAGACGACTCCCTGGAAAAGACCCTGATGTTGGGAAAGATGGAGGGCACAAGGAGAAGGGGACGACAGAGGACGAGATGGTTGGACAGTGTTTTCGATGCTACCAGCATGAGCATGACCAAACTGTGGGAGGCAGTGGAAGACAGGCGTGCCTGGCGTGCTTTGGACCATGGGGTCACGAATAGGCGGACCCGACTAAACGACTAAACAACAACAATGGATGCATGACCTGATTTGTGCGTCTCCAAGCACTGCAGTCATCTGCAACGGATTCCCACACGTTGCCAGCCTTCGTGTCACGTTTGCAGACATCTTTGTAACACAGAGTTGGTTTGCCAATGGGCCTGGTGCCGGAAGCTAGCTCCCCGTAGACCACGTCCTTGAGGAACCTGCCATTTTCCCTTTTGTGGACATGACCATGCCAGGGTAGAGAAGGTCCACCTCACCAGCACATCTGCCCCAGCTGCAACAAAACATGTCTCTCCTGTAACTCTCCAACAGTTTGACTTCACCCCTGAAGATGAACTCCAATGCCTCCTGGATGCCAGCCCACCACTGAGGTGGGAGGGGCAGGGCCTGCTGATGCCAGGAGGAAAAGGTAGACTTGACCACTGCTCAGCCCAGAGGCTCTCAAGATAGGTGTGCTAACATAATACAGATTAGTTAACCTTTCTAAGTATAATATTTTGCTTGGCCCCACTGAGCACACAGTAGCTTCCTGCCAATAAATAAATAAATGCTAGCTAGCAGCCTCGTTGGTCCATATAAACCAGGGGTCAGTAACCTTGTTCAGCCGTGGGTCGGTCCACTGTCCCTCAGACCATGTGGTGGGCTGGACTATATTTTTTTGGGGGGGGGATGAACGAATTCCTATGCCCCACAAATCACCCAGAGATGCATTTTAAATAAAAGCACACATTCTACTCATGTAAAAACACGCCGATTCCCGGACCGTCCGCAGGCTGGATTGAGAAGGCGAATGGGCTGCATCCGGCCCCCTTAGGTTGCCTGATATAAATGAAGAATTAATAGTACGATTGTTTATATATTTTACTAGAATTAAAACTGCAGCGCCATACAGACTTAAATGGAAGCAATGTCCACCAAGCTTCCTCAGATTTACTTCTTAGTAAACACACTTGAAAATGACCTACAAGAACGGCAAAGCAGTGAACTAGCAAAAAAAGAAAGGGAATAAAAGTATTTCAATTAGATCTACAGTCTGGGAAAAAGTAGTAATCCATCATGTGTTTTCATGAGTGAGTTTTTTAGAGCATCAGACCTGCAGGTGAAGAAGGCAGAGACTGAAAAGTTCTAAGACTTTAATAGCTCTGCTTCGTTAGTCACTGCAAAACTATATAATTACATAACAGTGTGACACACACGCACACACATACATAGTGGGATAAAATCATTATGATTTTATTTATTTACTCTACAACATTTATACTTAAAACGAGAAAGCAAAGAAAAAATCCGAAACCATACTTTTAAAACATACGAAGGTTAAAAATATTTCTGAATCGGCCAGTGTTTGCATGCGGTTTCCTCCACGCTCCAGATCCTCGCCGACAAACCGAATATTGTTTTCCTGACTCCAGTCCACGATTCGAGACTTTTATATCGGAATTAGCCGCCCGATCTGCCGAGAGTTCTTCTCCTTCTGCTTTCCCTTTAACGGGGTGGGCGGAGCAGAACGCGCGTTCCGCAGCCGGGCGCCCTCACGTGCCGCCTTGACCCGGAAGCGCCCCGTGCCCACGTGCGGGAAGACACGGGGCGGAGGGAGCATGTCGGCGCAGCAGGAACTGAAGATCAACGCGGCGTTCGCGGCGCGCTACGGGCGCTACCGGCGGCGAGAGGAGCTGCAGCGGCGTGAGTGGCGGGCGGGCGGGCGGGGAGGGAAGCGGACCGAGCCAGAGCAGCTAGTGTTGCCTGCACTGGCTGGCAGCGGCTCCGCGGGATTTCAAGGCAGGGGAGTCTCTCCCAGCGCTGCCTGGGCTCGAACCACTGCCGGATTTACGTATAAGCTAAACAAGCTATAGCTTAGGGCGCCACTCTCTTGGGGCCCCCCAAAAAAAATTAAAGGGGGGGGACTGGATGTACATTTTCAAAATATAAGATAAGAAACAAATAAAACCTACATACAGCAAGAGTGTTTTGTGTTGTGTAGGCTCCTATTTGTTATGTGCAAATGGCTTTAGATACCTATTAGGTCCATAAATTACCATATAGCATATATTCAACACTTAACATCTTTCCGCAGGGCCTGCAAGACAGAGCTGTTCCGCCTGGCCTTTGGTTTGGACTCAGTCTGACCCTTATGTTTCCCTCCCCTTATGGTTTTGATCTATGGTCTACTATTAAAATGAGGCTGCATTTTAAGTTATATTTTTAACCTGTATTTTAAATTGGTTTTCCCCCTCCCTATTATGTTTTTATTGTAATTTTACTGGTGTTAGCTACCCTGAGCCCGGCTCTGGCCGGGGAGGGCGGGGTATAAATAATTTTATTATTATTATTATTATTATTATTATTATTATTATTATTATTATTAAACAGCGGCAATTTGTTGTTGACAAAGGACAGCTGGACATATAAAGGGCCCCATTACCTTCAGTAGCTTAGGTAAAGGTAAAGGGGACCCCTGACAATTAGGTCCAGTTGTGACCGACTCTGGGGTTGTGGCGCTCATCTCGCTTTATCGGCCGAGGGAGCCGGCGTACAGCTTCCGGGTCATGTGGCCAGCATGACTAAGCCACTTCTGGCGAACCAGAGCAGCGCACGGAAACGCCGTTTACCTTCCCGCCAGAGTGGTACCTATTTATCTACTTGCACTTTGACGTGCTTTCGAACTGCTAGGTTGGCAGGAGCAGGGACCGAGCAACGGGAGCTCACCCCGTGGTGGGGATTCGAACCGCCGACCTTCTGATTGGCAAGTCCTAGGCTCTGTGGTTTAACCCACAGCGCCACCCGCGTCAGTAGCTTAGGGCTTCATCAAACCTAAATCCGGCCCTGCTTCTGCCTGGGCTTGAACCCAGAACCTTCAGGGGCTGGAGGGAGGGTCACCCTTTGCTGCTCCTCTAACATCCTGCCCGGCTCCTTCTCTCCCTTCCACCCCTGCAGTGCAGGACCGCTATGGGGATGCAGGCGAAGGCGACGGGTCGAGTTCTGAGTCTGAGACCAGTTCCGAAGACGAGGTGAGTCCTGCTTCTGTTTTCAGCCGCGGAGAAGTTTCTGTTTTCTGTTTTCAGAAGTTCTGTTTTCTCTGCTGGGAAAACTTTTGGGTTTTTTGTTTTTTAAAAAAATTGGTTTTTCATATTAAAAATTTAAAGAGATTTTTTTCAAACATAAATCATAAAAACAAGACTCCAAGGCAAGGAATCTCCTGGACTTACATCCTCCCCTTTGTGGGTCCTTAATCGAGAGGTCCGGAGGGTGGCAACACGAAAACAGGCCTTCTCTGCAGTGGCTCCCCATTTGTGGAATGCTCTCCCCAGAGAAGTTCACCTGGCGCCTTCATATCTTTAGGCGCCAGGCAAATATGTTCCTTTTTAACTAGGCCTTTGGCTGACCAGATTGACATCCAACACCCTTTTAGAATGTGGCTTGGGGGGGACGGTTATTCAGTTATTGCTTTTGGTTTGATTTTATATGTTGTGGTGTTCTTCTGAACCTCCCAGAGACCTCTAGGTATAGGGCAGTGTATAAGTTGAATAAATAATAATAATAATTCCATCCTGCATCTTATTATGATAACCCAAATCTTTTACATCTCCATTGTGTCCAGAATTCACCCTACAAGTGATATTCCAATCCCACTAACAATTTTAACTGTTTACAATGTTTATAAATTTCCCCCGTTCCTTATTAAAATTTTGGTCTTCCTGATTTCTGACTCTTTCAGTCATTTTAATCATTTTAGCCATTTCAGCATAGTGATGGACTAAGTTGTAACTTGGGGTCTTCTGGTTTATTAATCAACTGTTTTTCAATAACCATTATATTTTTAAATATCTCCTCTTTCTTTCTTTCTTTCTTTCTTTCTTTCTTTCTTTCTTTCTTTCCTCTTTAATATGCTATTCTGCTGCAGAAAGAAACCCCTCATCACTGCCTTGCTGGCGTCCCAAACTATGCCAATATCAGTACCTTTATTTGTATTCAAATCAAAATATTCTGTAAGATATTTTTGAGCCCTTTCAAAAGTCATTATCTAATAAATTTTCATTTAAAGGATGTTTTATCCTTACCTTCAAAGGCAGTTACTACCAAATTATGGTCAGATAGGGATTTTGGCAAAATCTCAGCTTTTGTAATTCTTGGACTAAGTTGATGGAAATATTTGGGTTTTGTTCTTATTGGAGAAGGCCAGGAAGGCAGGTCCTACTGAATATTTTTTTCAGAATATATCCAATCTTAATTGCGTTCTTCTCCTGCGGCAGGAGCTGGACCCCAGATTGGATCGTGCTTTTTACAGCACGCTGGCATTGCTGAAAACCAAAGACCCCCGGATTTATCAGAAGGATGTCACGTTCTACCGTGAGGAAGGTAATCGGTGATCCACGTTATGATTTCTTGCCTTGGGGGCAACTCTGGGATGTTCTGGCTTGGCCCAGGGAGACTTTTCGGAGGATTTTCTGATCTGGTTTGGGTTCCAAGAGCAGCTTGTTTTCTGGAATTGTCTGTTGGATCATCTATGATTGCTTCTGCCAGCAGATTCTTCTTCGGAAAGCGAAGGCGAGAAGCCGCCCCCCAAGAAGAAAGAAAGGCCCATGTTTCTGAAGGACTATGAGAGGAAGGTCATTCTGGACAAGGCAGGGTAAGATTTACCAACCAAAAGAAGAGTGGCAGATGAAATTACTGGACTATGCCAAATTGGCAAAACTGACCGGAAAAATCTGGAACCACCAGGATCCGACTTTTCTGAAAGTCTAGAATAAATTTGTGTTATATTTGAAAGACAACTGCAAACAACTAACATCGCTAGTAGGGTTACAAGAAGTTTGTAAGGTTAAATTTATTACTTATTACAGTTAATTTAGTATGTAAACAAGATTATGATCTAATAGCAATAAGATATATAAGAAAATGCAGTACATAGAGAATAGGTTTGAAAACCATCAATTGGGGAGGGGGGAAGTCGCAGGCTCATGAAGCCAAAACAAAACACAAATCTCTCCTCCCTCTGTCCGTCAGTTCATGTCCAGCAGAGATTCAAAGATAGAGGGAACAGCATCCCTCTCCTCTGTGTGAGACTTGCTTTGGAGGGGGCGCCTCCCCCCCGACAGATTATTCTTTTGCCTGGCCTAGATACGTTTCTGACTGTCCCTTTCGCTTGATTTTTATTTTGTTAGTGATGATAGCATTTGATCTCATTTCATTCTGATGCAAGTTCCTTTTCACCGCTCCACATTTGTTTCTTAACATTGAAGGTAAAGAAGGTGATGCAGAAAATCTCTGCACTTCACTCAGTCACAGCTACAGTTAGGGTCGTGCCCCCCCCCTTTTCCTCTGATTTGTACATCTTACTGACTTTTTATAGCTGTCGTCTCAAAAATTAATAAAAGATGCATTTAAAAAACACACACGCTTCCCTGCGTTGTACAGGATGGAACGATCAACGCACTATCCCTCTTTTCCTACAGGAAATATGAAGATGAAGAAAACGATGAAGGAGAACCAGTTAAAAACAGAAAGGTGAGGCTGGGAATCTGGAGATCCCCGCCTGAGAAACAGTTTTTATCCAAATGTGATTTTGGTTTTAAATGCAGTGTAAGGTAGTCTCTGTGGGAGTATATTGTATTTAATTATGGGGTATCAGAGTTTTTAGGGACGCGGGTGGCGCTGTGGGTAAAAGCCTCAGCGCCTAGGGCTTGCCGATCGAAAGGTCGGCGGTTCGAATCCCCGCGGCGGGGTGCGCTCCCGTCGTTCGGTCCCAGCGCCTGCCAACCTAGCAGTTCGAAAGCACCCCCGGGTGCAAGTAGATAAATAGGGACCGCTTACTGGCGGGAAGGTAAACGGCGTTTCCGTGTGCTGCGCTGGCTTGCCAGATGCAGCTTTGTCACGCTGGCCACGTGACCCGGAAGTGTCTGTGGACAGCGCTGGCCCCCGGCCTCTTAAGTGAGATGGGCGCACAACCCCAGAGTCTGTCAAGACTGGCCCGTACGGGCAGGGGTACCTTTACCTTTACCTTATCAGAGTTTTTAGGGGGTTAACCAGGCTGGGATAGCAGGGATAGGAGGCTTGTTGGTTTTTGAATGTTTGATGTAGATTTTTTTCAGTTTCGTTGTTCTGTATGGGACAATGACAATAAAGATTATCGTATCGTATCGTGAACTGGGGCTTGGTGCACCAGTTGCACCATGAGATCTTGAGAAATTGTGCTGTTTCTGGCCAGGGGAATTTCTGGCCCATTCTAGGAAAGGTGCACAGTTGTGGCATGGGGTATTAACCTTCTCCCTCCCCCCCCCCCAATTTTTCAGAGTTACGTAGAAGAGCAGAAGCAGCTTAAGGAGAGGTGAGCTGAGAACTGTGCCGGAGGGGAGAGCCCGACTCGTCAACATAACAGGCTTGTGGACAATATCTCCCCACCCCACTTTTGACATTCCTCTTTGAGTGTGCCATCTTTTTCCAGTAATGAGGTGCACGAGGGATCAGGCCCCATTCCCAAATGCCATACGTGAGGGGAGTATGCTGCCATTACATAATGTGTGTGTGTGTGGGGGGGGGAATCACTGCACGCGCACAGCAGCCCCTTGTTGTTGTTTTCAGAAAACAGATTCTGAGACTGAGAATGGGCTCAATGAGCCAATGAGTGGCTCAATGAGAGCCAGTGTGGTGTAGTGGTTAAGAGCGGTAGTCTCGTAATCTGGGGAACCGGGTTCGCGTCCCCGCTCCTCCACATGCAGCTGCTGGGTGACCTTAGGCCAGTCACACTTCTGTGAAGTCTCTCAGCCCCACTCACCTCACAGAGTGTTTGTTGTGGGGGAGGAAGGGAAAGGAGAATGTTAGCCGCTTTGAGACTCCTGAAGGGGAGTGAAAGGCGGGATATCAAATCCAAACTCCTCCTCTTCTTCTTCTTCTTCTTCTTCTTCTTCTTCTTCTTCTTCTCCTCCTTCCCTTCTCCTGAGCTGGGCTTTTCCCATCATCCCAACTCCCATCATCCCTAGCTAACAGGACCAGTAGTCAGGGATAATGGGAGTTGTAGTCCCAAAACATCTGGAGGGCCAAGTTGGCCTATGCCTGATCTGTGTTGACTGTCCCTGTGCACCATGCGCACGCACAGAAGCAACACCTCTAGTTACAGATTTTTTGGGGTGCGCATGGCACCCCAAAATGAATTAAATCTGTAACCAGCGGTACCACTGTATATCTGAGTTTTTAACACTCTTTCTAAACCCGGCTTTGCCCCCCCCCCCCACTATGCAGCTTCCAAAGGTTTGTGGCTGATAGTGATGAAGATGATGATGAAGGTGGAAGCTCGACATCCTTGCTGCAGAAACGGCCCAAAAGCAAAGAGGAGAAGGTGTGTGTGTGTGTGTGTGTAAAAGAGATGCCTCAAATTGAAAGGCTAAGGGTGGCGACTCCTTCACCGTCCTATAGCAGTAGAAGTTGCTTTCCTGGCGATGCTCCAAAATTCAAGCTTGAGCATCAGCAGGCATGCTGTAAGGTGACCCTGGTGATACCTGGCTTTTGGTGGCCTTGGTGAAGACAGCTTTCTTAACAGGAAGCAGGAGGTGATGGGCTGAACGATGGGTATACATATTTTAACAGCCACTAAACTTTGAAATAGGCATGCAGGTGGCGCTGTGGTGTAAACCACTGAGCCTAGGGCTTGCCGATCAGAAGGTCGGCGGTTCGAATCCCTGTGATGGGGTGAGCTCCCGTTGCTGCGTCCCTGCTCCTGCCAACCTAGCAGTCAAAGTCCAAGTAGATAAATAGGTGGGAAGGTAAACGGCGTTTCCGTGCACTGCTCTGGTTCGCCAGAAGCGGCTTAGTCATGCTGGCCACATGACCCGGAAGATGTATGCCGGCTCCCTCTGCCAATAAAGCGAGATGAGCGCCGCAACCCCAGAGTCGGTCACGACTGGACCTAATGGTCAGGGGTCCCTTTACCTTTAAACTTTGAAATGTGTTTTAATGTTCAGATAAATGTAGCTGCCTTTAGTCAAGGTCAGGGTGGTGCATTGTTGTTGTTGTTTAGATTTATATACTGTGCTTCGTCTTACGTTCTCAGGGGGGTTCCCAGAATAAAATACAGGATAAAAACAAGCACATAATCTCACGTTGCCACCCTCTGGACGACATGTGGAGGAGGCACACAAAGAAGGTGTTAGGATATTTCTGTTCCACCTTAAAAAGGGGACAAGCTGTTGTGTGTCACAGCCTGCGTACAGGATGTTTCTGTTGTGTCTATGCTTTCGTTCTCTCTCTGTGCCTGAGACACCGAAGCAGGCAGTCATGTTTTCTTTGTTCTGACCAACGCTGAATAAAATTGTAAATAATGCTCTCCTGCGTGCATCTTTCGCTGTGCATTATCTGCTGAGGCAAGAGCTCTGGAATGTGGGAAGCTATTTCTGGGGCTCGTGTCGCTAATTGAATGATACTGCGTGTCTACGGGAGATCGATGGATCGTCCGGAATCGACGTGGGGCCTTGATGGATGATGTCTCCTTGGCAGTATCCCAACAGAAGGGCCTCGGATGATAAACAGAGAATCTGGGATGGTTTATATGGGGAGAGGCGGACCTATAGGTATTGGGTTCCTGAGCTGCTTAAGGCTTTATAGGTCAGAACCAGCACTTTGAATTGGGACCAGAAGCTAGTTGGCAGCCTTTGTGTTCAGGCCATGATCGGTGTTCTATGCCCAAGCCAGTGAGCAACTTGGCCTCCAGATTCTGTACCGGCTGAATCTTCCAAACAGTTTTCAGAGGCAGCCCTGTATATAATCCATGACATTGTTGCCTCAGTTCTACCTTCTCTTCTGTTCTCTCAGGAGCACGAGGAAGCAGACTACATCAGTTGGTTAAAAGGTCAGGAGAAGCCACAAGCAGAGGAAGCGCTCCAGGACCTGGTATGTATTATTATTTTTTAATATATATATTTTAATTTATATGCTGACAAACATAAAACAACACATAGATGTACAATATATTACAAACAAAATACAAATAATATATAAATGTAAAAATAAAAATAGAAAAAGAGCAAAAAGCAAAAAGCAAAAAACATATCTCAAAAATAAGATATGTATTAACCTAAATTAGACTCCATTTTCTTTGTTGACTTCCTTCATCCTCTACATGGGTCTAATATCAACCATGTTAATCCGCTTTCTTTAATCTTCTTCTTAACTTACTTTCTATTTTGATTGTCCTTATTCTAACCGTACATCAGTTTACAGAAGTTAATTAAAACAAGTCCAAGAAGTAAGATGTGGGCATTGCTTCTTCAGATAATCACTATATTTTTTACGATCAGGGTTCTAGCTGCCACCACAGCATACAAGAATAGATTATTATCTTCTCTGGGTATATCTGTATCAGTTATTCCCAGCAATAAGGCTTCTGTTTCCCCCCCAAAAAATAAATCTAAAGATTTTCTTCATTTCTTCAAAGACCAAGTCCCAGAAGCCCTTAACTTTTTCACATTGCCACCACATGTGTATAAGCGTTCCCTCTGATCGGTTGCACCTCCAGCACAAGTTGGGTTTAGTTTTATACATTTTACAGATTTTTGTAGGTGTCAAATAGCACCTGGTATGTAATGGGCTTGGGGACCCGTCGCTTTGGATGAAACTGAAAAATGGGCCACAACATGGGCAGCTGCACCTGGCTCTGTATGACCACTGTCTGGTTTGTGGCTTCTTCCTAATGAATTAAGGCACTGTTTCCCTCAGACCTAGACAAGATTTTTGCAACAGGCTTCCGGAATAGCTGCGACTCCCAGAAGCACATGATTTGGGTTGCAGTGCCTCTCCCAAGATGCTCAGTGTGCTGGTCTCGGTTTTGAGAGTCTCAAGTTAGCTAGGAGAAGGGAGGCGACCATTTGCTGTTTCCTTAAAAGGTAAAGGGACCCCTGACCATTAGGTCCAGTCGTGGCTGACTCTGGGGTTGTCGCACTCATCTCGCTTTATTGGCTGAGGGAGCCGGCGTACAGCTTCCGGGTCATGTGGCCAGCATGACTAACCGCTTCTGGCGAACCAGAGCAGTGCACGGAAATGCCGTTTACCTTCCCGCCAGAGCAGTACCTATTTATCTACTTGCACTTGACGTGCTTTCGAACTGCTAGGTTGGCAGGAGCAAGGACCGAGCAACGGGAGCTCACCCCGTCACGGGGATTTGAACCGCCGACCTTCTGATCGGCAAGTCCTAGGCTCTGTGGTTTAACCCACATTTCCAGCCGCCTCAATAAAGTAACGGAATGGAAACACTCATCTCGACGCAGAAAGGATTGGACTCCATTAATTTCTGAGTCCTGCTAAATCCGCATCTTGAGCGGTTTTCTGCTGAGGCTAGCAGAACATTTTTCTGCATGAGCAGGCGCTTCCCCACGTTGCTCCAGGAAAGCATGTGTCTGCCCCATTGATTGATTGATTGATTGAATTTATATACTGCCCTATACCCGGAGGTCTCAGGGTGGTTCACAGGAAAGATTGCTGTATATAAAATAAAAATAAAAGCAATAACCCCATAACAGCCCCCCCCCAAGAAAGATCCACATTTTAAAAGGGTACGGGATATCCATCAGATCAACCAAAGGCCTGGTTAAAAAGGACCGTTTTTGCCTGACGCCTAAAGGTGTATAATGAAGGCTCCAGGCAAACTTCCCTGGGCAGAGCATTCTACAGACAGGGAGGCCACTGCAGAGAAGGCCCCGTTCTCATGTTGCCACCCTCCTCTGCACCTCTGGAAGAGGAGGCACACGAAGGAGGGCCTCATAAGATGATCTCAGTGTCCGGGTAGGTTCATATGGAAAGAGGCGGTCCTTGAGGTATTGCGGTCCTGAGCCGTTCAAGGCTTTATAGGTCAAAACCAGCACTTTGAATTGGGCCCGGAAACTAATTGGTAGCCAGTGCAGTCGGACCAGGATCGGTGTAATATGCTCAAACCGTCTTGCTCTGGTGAGCAACTGAATTCTGCACTAGCTGAAGTTTCCGAACCGTCTTCAGAGGCAGCCCTACTTATAATGTATATCTCACCCTGTTAGGTGGTCCTTTGGGGGATTTTCTGCACTGTCCCTGTCTTGAGGCGGGTGACTTCATTTCGGGTTTCCTCTGTTTCCCCAGGCTCCCCTTAAAGAATACTGGAACGACCACAACTCGATGAGGGGGAGCGTTCCTGCGAGATTATATCTTGAACAAGCGCTACAAGGAGGCAGATGATGGAGGGGAGGAAGAGGAGGAGGAGGAGGATGGGTGAGTGCCGATGGATGGATTTTTGAGTTCCTTAAGGATAGGGCATAACTTTCCCTGGTGTGTCTCCCCCTATCCCCAATCCAGGTGAAGGTAGATGGAAAGGAAATTTAATTTGTTGAGCTCCCCTCTTCCCCCATTCACTAATAGTGCACCTTCACGGGCCAAGATCTAACACAATGTCACTTAAGGAGATTGATAGTCTCTGGGCATGCCTTCTACAGTGGTACCTAGGGTTAGTACTTAATTTGTTCCGGAGGTCCGTACTTAACCTGAAACTGTTCTTAACCTGAAGCACCACTTAGCTAATGGGGCCTCCTGCTGCCGCTGCCGCCCACCGGAAGCATGATTCTGTTCTCCAATCCTGAAGCAAAGTTCTTAAACCCTGAAGCACTAATTTTCTGGGTTAGCGGAGTCTGTAACCTGAAGCGTATGTAACGTGAAGCGTATGTAACCCGAAGGTACCAACCTGTATAGTGACACCGAGGATGAAACCTTATTCCTTGCCAACCTTTATTGGTAAGAGAATGAAATTTTAATAAAAGAAAAACACCCATCCATGGCTCACATGGTCGCAGAGGGAGTGTTCATGGTCCATGGGCCTACAGTATATTTTGGCACAGCAGTTCTTTCCGTCTTAAAGTTGTTCTGCATCTTCTACCAGCAATACCAGGAAAGATTCAGGCTTACTAGCTGGCTTTTGCTTCTCAATAATTCTCGTGGTTGGCCTCTGTTATTTTCTCCTACAAATAGAGAACTTACCTAATGACTATATACAGGCTCTTGGGTACCCCATAAGGGATAAAGAAGCAGTTTTTTCTTATAACACTGTCCTTGCGCTATATTCCCTCTTCCTGCTCATGTGCTGCCTTCTCCACAGGCTCCCCGGAGCGCAGCTGGCTATATCGGATTCGTCGGATGAGGGCGAGCTGTTCTTAAAGAAGCAAGAGGATTTCGAGCGCAAGTACAACTTCCGCTTCGAGGAGCCTGAGGCCCAGTTGGTGAGAGGAACATTCTCTGCCTGCACTGGGAAGTTAGGCTTTCTTCTCGGTGTCCTGGCACCATTATGTTATGAGTGACAAGAGGGACGTCCTCTCTCTCTGAGGAGACTGGGGTGATGAGAGGGGGTGCTGCTGGGATCTCTGCTCATCTGAAGAACGCGAGGCTGAAGAGTTCTTCTTTTCTCTTCTCCAATACCTGTACCGCCAGATGAAAACCTATCCCCGCAACATTGCAACCTCGGTGCGCCGGAAGGACGAACGCCGTAAAGAGAAACGGCAGGAGACTCAGGAGCGCAAGAAGAAAGTGAGTTCTGCACAGATACGAGCGGATAATGTTCAGCTCTATTGGGCTGCCTAGGAGGGCTGAAACTTTTGCCTATTATTATTAATATTATTATTAGAATTTATATACCGCCCTATACTCGGAGGTCTCAGGGCAGTTCACAGAACAAAATCAAAATATAAAATCACAAAATATATAATCAAAATGAAACCAACAACCCAATAACACGTCCCAAAACCCCCCACATTTTAAAAGGGCATAGGGCAGGGGTAGGCAACCTAAGGCCCGGGGCCCGGATCCGGCCCAATCACCATCTAAATCTGGCCCACAGACAGTCTGGGAATCAGCGTGTTTTTACATGAGTAGAATGTGTGCTTTTATTTAAAATGCATCTCTGCTTATTTGTGGGGCATAGGAATTTGTTCATTTCCCCCCTCAAAATATAGTCTGGCCCACCGCATGGTCTGAGGGACGGTGGACCAGCCCATGGCTGAAAAAGGTTTCTGACCCCTGGTATAGGGTGTAAAATCAAATCAACCAAAGGCCTGGTTAAAACGGAACGGTTTTGCGTGGTGCCTAAAGGTGTATAATTAATCATTTCATTTCTATACCGCTTTACATTTTTCAGAAAAAAGCTCAAAGTGGTTTACAAACCTACAATAAAACATCAAAAAAGTAATCCAGAATAAAACGTTACTGAAGAAAGTCAAATATAAATTATACATTCCAAGCAACATAAATAACAGGAAACTAAAATGTTAAAGATTTCAGAATAAAATATTGCAAAGAAGGTAAACACACATTTAATGCCGCAAAGTTAACCCCAAAAAGTATCTGAAACATTTCAAAAGAAAACATTACTAAAGGAAGTCCAGTATAAAATGCACATTTAAAACAGCATAATTAGCAAGGAAATAAAATATAAACGTAGGGCATATATGCTGCTGTTGCTGCCATTTCTGCCAATGGTGGTTCATGGTGGGCGACAGCAATGGAAGCTCAGGCTCAGTGACCTGGGTCTGCACTCAGACAGCCAAGATGATCTCTGGTCTCTTCAGCAACCTCAGCTTTTGTAGCTGGAGTCAGTCCAGACCCCGCCCTCCCAGGTCAGGTGTGAAAAGTCCTGCAAAGCAGGGAGCAGGTCTCTCAGGACTCCCAGTGAAGTATAAGCGGGTTCAGGCATGAAGGCGCCAAGCCAACTTCCCTGGGGAGAGCATTCTTCAGACGTAGGTCTGGGTGCCAGATGGGCCAAATAACGGCATTCTCCCGTAATACTGTGCTTTTCTTCACCCTAAAAGGAGAAGGCTCAAAAACAGGAGGAGCTCAAGCAGCTGAAGAACCTGAAGCGCCGGGAGATCCTGGAACGGCTGGGGAAGCTGCGTGAGATCACCGGCAGTGCAACCAGCACCTTCCAGGAAATGGACCTCGAAGGGGATTTTGATCCCACCCAACATGACCAGCTGATGGAGGTGGGTGCATGTTGTATACCAATGCCAAGAGTTCTGGCTGGCAGCCAGAAGACACTGTCCCAGCCCTTCTCCAAAATGGTAGGGCCGTGTTAAGGGTGAGTCAGCTGAACCCCGCTCTCCTGCCACAACGAGAAATTGAGGGAAGTAGATTTGGCTTGTCGTTTGAAAACGGCTCAATGAATTGATTTGAAACTGGGCAGTGCTTTTGCATTCTAGGCATTAACCAACTCTTTTTTTTTTTAGAAATCATTTTTATTTGATTTTACAAATATAAATTTATAACATCCCAAATGCATATCCATATACAGTGGTACCTCTGGTTGCGAACGGGATCCATTCCGGAGTCCAGTTCACAACATAAGCAGAACGCAACCTGCGTCTGTGCGGGTCGCGATTCGCCTCTGCGCATGCGCGTGACATCATTTTGTGCGTCTGCACATGCGTGAGCGGTGAAACCGGAAGTAACCCTTTCCAGTACTTCCGGGTCTCCACGGGACGCAACCTGAAAAAACGTATCATGAAGCAAACTCAACACGAGGTATAGAGATTACTCTGAATCTTGAGACTTCCCCCTCGTCCCCTTCATGGGCCCTGTTGTCAACATTTGCAACTGCATATTATTCTATGCAGTCGTACCTTGGAAGTCGAACGGAATCCATTCCAGAAGCCCATTTGACTTCCAAAACATTCGGAAGCCAAAGCGCAGCTTCTGATTGGCTGCAGGAGCTTCCAGCTGTTTGTCCACTGGGCCTGTTAGCCAGGGATGATGGGAGCTGTAGTCCCAAAAGAGCTGGAGGGCCAAGTTGGGCCATCACTGCTTTAGGCAGTAGCCAACGCTTGAATTGAATTGTAGAGTTGGATGGGACCCTGAGGACCGTCTAGTCCAGGGGTCGGCAACCCACGGCTCCGGAGCCGCATGTGGCTCTTTTACACCTTTGCCGCGGCTCCGGGGCGGATACTAGCAAGGGGAGGAGGCGCATTGTGCGCCCGACACTCCCCACTGTGGCGGGCGCTGTACTGGCTGTGACGTCGCATGGGGGCGGTGCGTGCGTTAGTCACGTACCGTCCCAACGTCACCTTCCCGCCCGCCCGCTACATTGTAAGGGGCATGTACGCTGGTCACTGCATTGAAAGGGGGCATGTACGCTGGTCACTGTTTTGAAGGGGAGTGAAGAAGAACACACACACAAAAAGGAACTTGTTAATTTAACATTTATTTCTATGAGGAGGAGTAATTCTGAGGGGTCAAACAAAGAAATAATAAAAAAGTGACAAAAAAGTTATTTTTCTAATGACGAGTTTTGCGGCTCCCAGTTTTTCTTTCTTCGGAAACGGGCCCAAGTGGCTCTTTTTGTCTTAAAGGTTGCAGACCCCTGGTCTAGTCTAACCCTTCTCCCAGTATGCCCCACGGAGGACATTAAGGTCCATAAATAGCAACACCCTAGAGGTCCCAGGCCCTAAGGAAGTCAGATTAGCCTCAACCAGAGCCCAGGGCCTTTTCAACACTGGCTCCAGCCTGGTGGAACGCTCTGTCTCATGAGACCAGGGCCCTGCAGGATCTGATTTCTTTCCACATGGCCTGTAAGACAGAGTTGTTCCACCTGGCCTTTGGCTTGGAATCAACTTGATCCGCTCCCCCTCTTTCCTTTTTCCTTTCTCCTTCTGTGATGGAACTCCTCTTTGGGGACTTCCCTGGCTTTTTCCTGGCCCACGTAGGACCAGTCTGGATAGTTGGCCTTGGTGAAGACTTGACGTTTTCACCCCCCAAAAAGTTTTTGATTTGAGTTTCTACTGAAACGAGGCTGTATTTTACTCTTGTTTTTAAGTTGTATTTCAATCAATTGTTTTTATACCTGGTGTTAGCCGCCCTGAGCCCGGTCTTGGCTGGGGAGGGCTGGGTATAAATATATTTTTTTATTATGATTATTCTCTGTTTCCTACAGAAATTATTTGGGGACGAGTATTATGGAGTTGGTGAGGAAGAGAAACCGCAGTTTGAGGCGGAGGAAGGAATTGACGGTAGGTCGAGAAGATGGCCCTGGCATGTGGGCAGTTTGCCCTCGGTCTGAAAACAAATTTGCTTGTGAGGTCAGCATTGGGATCCCCAGTTCTAGAGCAGTCCCCCCCCCTCCCCTCGACCTGGTGCTGTTCTGGGTGAGGATGGCGGGATCTCTTTGTCCAAACCATCTGGAGGGCACCAGGTTGGGAAAGGCTGCTGCTCAAGTGGCTTTTAATGATGTGTTTGTGGGGTGTTGCATGAAACTGGATCTACTTTGGCTTCATCCAGCAAGATTCTTGTTAGTCTTCATTTTGGCGCATGGAAGCTCTGTTGCAGAACCGGGAGATGTTTTTGGCTGGGAGAATTTTTGCTGAAGAGAACGTGAGTTGGGGACATGAAAGGAGGAAGGCAAGCAAGCCGGGAGTATTTTGCAGAAGCTGCCCACGTAATCTGGAATCTGCCAGGAATGTTAAAATGAGTACTGTGCTTTAGATATCCTCAGGAGTCATTTGGTGTATTCTTGCGTGACGCTTGATTCTTTTTTAAATTTATATATTATTTTTATTAAATTTTCTGATTTACCTTTCAAAATATTCATTTAAACAACCTTAATGACTTCCCTTCTTCTCTTTCCATGGTTCATTTTGCATACCACCCACCCTTCATATTTTACGCAAAATAAACCATTCAGTAATCCATTGTTACATCCATCAGAACTTATTTTCACTGTTGAATTTATCTTAATGCTACCAGCATTCTTAAATGAACACAATTTTCACCCATACATTCAGTAAACATTTCCCAGTCTTTTTCCAGTCTACATTCTTTTCGTTCTCTTATTCTATATGTTAAGTCTGCAAGCTGCATGTGTTCCATCAGTTTAAATTCCCATTCATCTTTGGTTGGGACCTTGCTCGTTTTCCATTTTTGGGCTGACAAAACACGAGCCGCAGTCGTACCATACATAAATAGTCTTTTTTGACACCTGGGAATTGAATTATCCCCAACCAAAAGGACTCTGGTTTTTTTGGTTTTTTTTAAGTGCTTTTAAACATTTTTTCCAATTCAGTATATATCATTTCCCAATACTCTTTTACCTTTTTACAAGTCCACCACATATGATAAAACGTACCCTCAACCTCATTACATCTCCAGCACGTGAAGCTCGTTTCATGCCTTCAGATGCCTTAACGGGGGGGGGGGGGGGGCTCTGTTTCCTTATCCATCCCAACTTTGGTTGAGGGATTCTTAGGCATTGCTGCATGCCGGCTCCAGGGTGAGGTTCAGAAAGCAATGGGACCAAAGGAATCATTAGCTTAGGAAGCAAAAATGTCTTTTTCGTCTTCATCCCGAATGCAGATGAGTGGAATTGGGACAAGTGGACAGGAGGGGATGGAACTGAAGCAGAAGGTGACCTGGGGCTGCAGGAGGACGAAGAATACCACCCCCACTGCGAGGATCCTGACTTTGTGGTATGTCTGGCTTGCATTCTTAACCAGGGGGCCCAGCTTTGGTTGCTGAGGTGGTGCGGCTCTCAATAATAATAATAATAAAACAATAAAACATCAAACATTTAAAACTTCGCTAAACAGGGCTGCCTTCAGATGTCTTCTAAAAGTCCAATAGTTGTTTATTTCCTTGACATCTGATGGGAGGGCGTTCCACAGGGCGGGTGCCACCACCAAGAAGACCCTCTGCCTGGTTCCCTGTAACCTCACTTCTCGCAGGGAGGGAACCGCCAGAAGGTCCTCAGAGCTGGACCTCAGTGTCTGGGCTGAACGATGGGGGTGCAGACGCTCCTTCAGGTATACTTATGGGACCGCCTCTCCTGGTATGCCCCGCAGAGGACCTTAAGGTCCATGAATAATCATAGTTTAGAGGTCCCAGGCCCTAAGGAAGTTAGATTATCCTCCACCAGAGCCAGGGCCTTCTCAGTGATGGCTCCAACCTGGTGGAATGCTGTGTCCCATGAGACCAGGATTTAACTTCCTTCCGCAGGGCCTGTAAGACAGAACTATTCTGCCTTGCTTACAAGTTGAACCTGGCCTGATCTTCTGTTCCCCTTCCTTCCCTCCCCCTCCCCTTTTTGTGAAGATTTCCCCCTCTTGGGATCCCACAGCTGGTTCTCCCCTGGTTTCCTCGCTGGCCCAAGTGGGACTAATTTAGCCAGTTAGCCCTGGTGATCATCTAATGTTTATTGGATGGATTTCCCCCCTAAATTGATTTTTGATTTTATTGTTATTTACGCTTTATACCGTATTTTATGCTGTTGGGGTTTTTTTGTAGCATCAATTAGTGTTTTAAATTTGTTGTTAGCCGCCCTGAGCCCAGTTTCCTGAACTGGGAAGGGCGGGATATAAAATAATAATAATAATAATAATAATAATAATAATAATAATAATAATAAATATAAATTAATAATAATAATAATTATACTGGGCCGAGCCGTTTAGGGCTTTAAAGGTCAGCACCAACACTTTGAATTGCACTCGGAAACACTTTGAATTGTGCTCGCGCCCGTTCATGCACTGCAGCCATGGATTGGCAGAAGATTGTACCCGAGAAGGAGAGGGCAAATAGATGAGGGAAAGCCACAGTCTCTGGTCAGTGTGACCAGAAGGCTCCCTGCAGATTTGAGGACACTTAGCAAAAACGGTGACATCTAATAACTTAATGGCTAGAGGTGGGGGAAGGGGGCAGACTTTGGGCAACATCTTTCATGAGATGATGACAGGATTTGATGCATTTTTGGATGCAGCTGTCACATCCAGGCTTCCCTCCCTGAAGACTGGGAACATATTTAATGAAGAGCGGTGAAATCTGGATTTCCTAGGAGCCTTGCACAACCATCGGGGTGCAGTTGGCATTCTGTATGCTGAAGTGAGCAGCAGCAGAGATGCTCGTGCAAATATGATATGATAATGTTTATTGTTGTTGTCACATAAAGAACAACAAAATTGAAAATCTACACCAGACATTCAGAAACCAACACGCCTGCTATCCTACCCTGGTTAACCCCCTAAAAAATCTGATACCCCATAATTAAATAAAATATACTCCCATAGGTAAAGGTAAAGGGACCCCTGACCATTAGGTCCAGTCGTGGCCGACTCTGGGGTTGCGGCGCTCATCTCGCTTTATCGGCCAAGGGAGCCGGCATACAGCTTCCGGGTCATGTGGCCAGCATGACTAAGCCGCTTCTGGCGAACCAGAGCAGCGCACGGAAACACCGTTTACCTTCCCGCTGGTAGACCTATTGATCTACTTGCACTTCGTGCTTTCGAACTGCTAGGTGGGCAGGAGCAGGGACCGAGCAATGGGAGCTCACCCCGTCGCGGGGATTTGAACCGCCGACCTTCTGATCGGCAAGTCCTAGGCTCTGTGGTTTAACCCACAGCGCCACCCGTCCCAGTGTCCCAGAATATACTCCCATAGAGACTACCTTACACTGCATTTAAAACCAAAATCGCATTTGAATAGAAACTGTTTCTCAGGCGGCTAGTCCTAGTCTTTATAACCCTGTACCTTCTTCCAGAAGGCAAAAGCTGAAAGAGATCATTTCCGGGGTGCGCACTATCTCTGCAGGTTTCTTATGGCACCTGGAAGCATAGATTTGATCCAAGGTGGGAAGAGTGCAGCCAATTATTTTCTCCACAGTCTTTACAACCCTGGACAGCATTGTTTTTCCCCTGACCGTGCAGCTCCCAAGTCACACACACAGACCATAAGTTAATGCACTCTCAACAGTACAATGGTAAAATGCCATCAACAGGTCCTTTGAGAGGTTGTTTTATGGGGGCAGGGGCTGGTGAGCGATAAGCAGCAGCTTCTTGCTCTATGTCTGGTTGTGTTCTGGTCTTGTTTTCCCTGCGTGACTTTTGGCACCAGGGGAGAAGGGAGGTTTGCTCTGCTCTCTTCCTGGGGTTTGCGATGCCCGCGTGAAATGACGCTTGCTTTTCTCTTCTTCTCCCCTCCACAAACCACCTCTTCAGATGGATGCCGATTATGACCCCACCCAGGAGCCAGGCCCCTCCAGAAAGCAGCGGAGGCTGGAGGTTCCCCTTCTGGGCAAGAAGAAACGCAAGTCACATTTTGCAGAGGCTGTCAGTCGGGAGAAAAAACCCTTTGACCCTGGTAAGGATGGTAATAATAATAATAATAATAATAATAATAATAATAATAATAAAAAAAAAAATTTACTTATACCCCGCTCTTCCCGGTTCAGAAAACCGGGCTCAGGGCGGCTAACAACAAATTTAAAACACTTCGTTGATGCAACAAAAACCAGCATAAAATACAGTATAAAACGTGAATAACAATAAATTCAGAATTCAAAAATCAGTTTAGGGGGGAAATCCACCCAATAAACATTAGATGATCACCAGGGCTAGCTGGCTAAGTTAGTCCTATTTGGGCCAGCGAGGAGACCCAGGGAGAATTAGCTGTGGGATCCCAGAGTGGGTAAGATGAGCCAGCCTTCCTTGCATGGCGTCTTTTGCCCACAGAACCTCTCCCTGGCCAGGTGGCGTCAATTGCAGTTGAGAATTGTTGGAACTGAGAGAGAAGTGGACTTTCTCTCTCTCTTGCTCTCTTTGGGTGATGGAGGCTTCAGTGAGAGAGTGAACGCTTCTGGGCATTTTTCAACTTCCCCGTTTAATGAAAATCTCCTTGCCCAGCCAAACTTCTTTCTCTCCCTCTCTCTCTCTCTCTCTCTCTTTAAAAAAATTATTTATGCTTCTCAGGTTTATACATGTCATTAATTTCACAATCATTTTAACGTTTCAAAATTTGACTTCCTTTGGTTCCTTAATATTTTTTTTAATATCTTCTACATATCCAAATTCACCTTAATTTGATCAATTATTTATCTACTTTAAATACTCTTACAAAACTGCAGGTTATTACAATAATCCTGCCGATGTTCTTATCTATTTAAAATTTAACTGTAAATACTCAATAAACCATTTCCATTCTTTTATAAGAAGTTTGCTGTCTTGATTTCTTATTATTCCGGTAAGTTTCGCCCTTTCTGCATATTCCACAAGTTGTTGTGTCCATTCTTCCTTTTCTGGGACTTCTGGTTCTTTCCATTTTGGGGCAGGTAACATTCCTGCTGCTGTAGTAACATACATAAATATGTTTCTTTTTATTTTATTCTTTAAAATATTTTTATCAAATTTTATTTAACAAATTTAAATTCAGACATTAAACATCCACATCATCATTTAAGTTTCTCTGAATCCTTTGACTCCCCTCCACACTTCCATGGTTACAATTATCAATCTTTTTTTCAACTGCTTCCCTTATATTCTCTATTTTTAAAAAAGAAATAATATGTTTTTTACCATAGTTTTTTGTACATTACAAGCATTACTGCAACCCTGCCAAAGTTTTTAACTGTTTACAGTGTTCTCTTTGTAATTTACATTGTAAATTTTTTACATTGGGGAGAAATATGCATCAATAAGTTTCTATACAATTTAGGTATTTCTGTCCCTATATTTCCCCCCAAAAAAGCTTCTGGTTTTTGTTTTGTTTCTTACAGAGATTATTTAAAACTCTCTCTCTTTCTCTTTGCAGAGACAAAGACCTTTGAGCAATACCTAGATGAATTCTACCGCCTGGACTATGAAGACCTGATAGGGGAACTGCCTTGCCGTTTCAAGTACCGAACTGTGGTCCCCTGCAGCTATGGACTCTCAACTGAGGAGGTAGGTAACTTTACCCTTTGGCAAAGACTGAGGGGGATTTCTTTTCTCCCGCTGGGGTGGGGAGGACCGTTGTCTGTTTTGGGAATACAGTGGTACCTCAGGTTACATACGCTTCAGGTTACATATGCTTCAGGTTACAGACTCCGCTAACCCAGAAATAGTACCTCGGGTTAAGAACTTTGCTTCAGGATGAGAACAGAAATTGTGCTCCGGCGGCGTGGCAGCAGCAGGACGCCCCATTAGCTAAAGTGGTGCTTCAGGTTAAGAACAGTTTCAGGTTAAGAACGGACCTCCGGAACGAATTAAGTACTTAACCCGAGGTACCACTGTATACTGACAGGGACGCGGGTGGCGCTGTGGGCAAAAGCCTCAGCGCCTAGGGCTTGCCGATCGAAAGGTCGGCGGTTCGAATCCCCGCAGCGGGGTGCGCTCCCGTTGTTCGGTCCCAGCGCCTGCCAACCTAGCAGTTCGAAAGCACCCCCGGGTGCAAGTAGATAAATAGGGACCGCTTACTAGCAGGAAGGTAAACGGCGTTTCCGTGTGCGGCTCTGGCTCGCCAGAGCAGCGATGTCACGCTGGCCACGTGACCCGGAAGTGTCTCCGGACAGCGCTGGCCCCCGGCCTCTTGAGTGAGATGGGCGCACAACCCTAGAGTCTGTCAAGACTGGCCCGTACGGGCAGGGGTACCTTTACCTTTACCTTACCACTGTATACTAGATGAGATCCAACAAACTGAAGCTCAATCCAGAGAAGGTTGAGGCACTGTTTGTGGGCGGTTCGCTAGACTGGATGGATGGAAGACGATCTGCTCTTGATGGGGTTACATTCCTTTTGAAGGAGCTGGTATGTAGCTTGGGGGTACTTCTGGACCCATGCTTGAGACTCAGGTGGCCTCAGTGGCACGGAGTGCCTTCTGTCTGTTTCGGCAGGTGGCCCACACATCCCCCTGTTTGGACAGGGATAGCCTAACATCTGTCATCTAAGCTCACGTAACCTCCGGGCTAGATTATTGCAATATGTTCTACATGGGGCTGCCCCTGAAAACGATTCAGAAACTTCAGCTGGTATAGAATGCAGCAGCCAGGTTGCTCAAGAACAGAGGTCAGCAATCTTTTTCAGCCGTGGGCCGGTCCACCGTCCCTCAGACCATGTGGTGGGCGGGACTATATTTTGAAGAAAAAAATGAACGAATTCCTATGCCCCACAAATAACCCAGAGATGCATTTTAAATAAAAGCACACATTCTACTCATGTAAAAACACCAAGCAGGCCCCACAAATAACCCAGGGATACATTTTAAATAAAAGGACACATTCTACTCATGTAAAAACACGCTGATTCCTGGACCGTCTGCAGGCCGGATTGAGAAGGCGATTGGGCCGCATCTGGCCCACGGGCCTTAGGTTGCCTACCCCTGCTCAAGAGTGTTTGAGCATACTGCACAAAACCTGGCCTAACTGCACTGGCTGCCAATTCATTTCTGGGCTCAATTCAAAGTGCTGCTTTTGACCTATAAAGCCTTAAATGGCTCAGGACTGCAATACCTGAAGAACCGCCTCTTTCCATATGAACCTACCCAGACCCTGAGATCATCTTCTGAGGCCCTTTTTCATGTGCCTCCTCTAGAGCAGTGTTTCCCAACCGGTGTTCCGCGGCACACTACTGTGCCGTGAGACATTGGCTGGTGTGCCGTGGGAAGGAGGCGGGCGAGTCGGGCGGTGAGAGGCGGTGGCGGCGAGGATCCACGTCGAGCCGGGGCGGCTCCGCGGTGGTGGTGCCGAGCGGCGGGGCAGCGCGTCAAAAGGGAGGAGCGCGAGACAGCGGAGGAGGAGGAGGCCGCATGTCCGGGCAGCAGCAGCAACAACAGCAGCAGCAACTCCCGGCGACGGCTCCTCAAGCCCCGCCGCCGCCCCCTCCTCCGCCCGCTATCGCCGCCACCACCACCACAGCCGCCGCCGCCTCAGTTGCCGCCGTCCCTCAGTCCCTCGCTCTGCTGCCTCCTCCCACCCCCAAAGCTTGGAGGTTCCCCGGCAAGGGGGAGGGAAAAAACTTTCACTTTCGTGCGTCCCTCCCGGCGTGACGCTGCGCGCTGACGTCACGGGGCGGGGCTTTAATGGTGGTGTGCCGCGAGATTTTTTTTCAGTAAACAGGTGTGCCGTTGCCCAAAAAAGTTTGGGAAACACTGCTCTAGAGGGTGGCAACACGAGAACAGGGCCTTCTCTGCAGTGGCTCCCTGTTTGTGGAATGCTCTCCCCAGGGAGGCTCATTACATATCTTTAGGCACCAGGCGAAAACATTCCCCTTCAACCATGCTGTGGCCTTTTCAATGTATTTGCTGGAGGCGGGGTTGTTACTGGTTTGGTTTTGTTCCGTTCCGTATTTTGTGTTCTCATTTTGCATCGTGAACTGCTCTGTGATTCCGGATGAAGGGAGGCGCACAAATTTAATAAACAAAGGCCGGGGTGCATGCTTCTGGAGGATCAGGTGCCAATTGGTGCAACATTCGGACTGCCTCGCCAGAGTGGTGCATGCTCTGGTTATCTCCCGCTTGGACTACTGCAATGCGCTCTATGTGGGGCTACCTTTGAAGGTGACCCGGAAACTACAACTAATCCAGAATGTGGCAGCTAGACTGGTGACTGGGAGTGGCCGCCAAGACCACATAACACCAGTCCTAAAAGACCTACATTGGCTCCCAGTAAGTTTCCGAGCACAATTCAAAGTGTTGGTGCTGACCTTTAAAGCCCTAAACGGCCTTGGTCCAGTATATCTGAAGGAGCGTCTCCACCCCCCATCGTTCTGCCCGGACACTGAGGTCCAGCTCCGAGGGCCTTCTGGTGGTTCCCTCCTTTCGAGAAGTGAGGTTACAGGGAACCAGGCAGAGGGCCTTCTCGGTAGTGGCACCCACTCTGTGGAACGCCCTCCCACCAGATGTCAGAGAGAGCAACAACTACCTAGACTTTTAGAAGACATCTGTAGGCAGCCCTGTTTAGGGAAGCTTTTAATGTTTGATGCATTACTGTATTTTAATATTTTGTTGAAAGCTGCCCAGAGTGGCTGGGGAAGCCCAGCCAGATGGGCGGGGTATAAATAATAATTATTATTATTATTATTCAAATAAGAAATGAATGATTCTTTCTCCCTAGATCCTGGCAGCTGATGACAAGGAACTGAACCGCTGGTGTTCTTTGCGGAAGACCTGTATGTACAGGTGAGGCGCAGGAAGGATGCAGTGTCTGTCTACACTGGAAACCGAATAAAAGTGGGGACCCTGCTGTGTGCAGTGTGGCTTGGGGACCAGGACTCCTGGGATCTAGCCCGGTTCTGGTTGCGCTGGTCGCCGCGACTCGTGCTTCAGTTTTTTCGAAGAATTCAAGATTTTCTGGCAAGCGACAATGAACAAAGGGGCCTGCAAGTTTGGGAATGGGGCGGAGGTGTCGGCTTCTGAGTCACAGAGCAGTCCACCGCAGCTCCAATGTCTAGCAAAGAGGAATCTTTGCAGACCTCTTGGTTTTTGGGGGGTTCTGCACCTGCACAAGGCACCATCCACTACTTGCCATGCTGTTGTCTACAATGAGATGGTTTTGTTCCTTGCTCTTCCCATCCCGCCCCCATCAGGGTGGAAAGGCAGGTAAGGACGGCATCTCACATGTGGCACCTGACAGGTGTATTCTCCATGCAGGTCTGAGAAGGAGGAGCTGCGAGACAAACGGCCTATGAGCAGAAAGGCCAGAATACTTGGAAGAAGAAGCAGGTTCTCAAATCCCTTCAGTCAGAGTATGTGTTCTATTCTATATCTATCTATATTGCTATTTTATTTGGTTTCAAGATTCAAGATTGCATTTTAACACTCAGTAATTATACTCCTTCACTGCTAATGACTTTCTGCTTGTCCATCCTCAAAGTTCATAAATATAATTTCACGTAACTGCATTTTAAAGTACCCTTCAGCTTCAGCCTCTTTAACAGGTTTCTTAATATAATCTGCTATTTTCCCCCTTAAACTTCAAACCCCACTGTGGACTTCATGTATAAAGAATAACTTTTTAAGTCTGTATCGGGGGCCTAATCCCGTCCACTGGTTGGTTTAATCCAGTTCCTGTGGCAGTTTATTTCCTGGGGTAAAATCCTAACAACTTTGGTTGGCCCTCACGGCCCTTCACATCATCAAATCTGGCCCTCATTGAAAAAAGTTTGGACACCACTGTTTTAAGTAAACTAGGAAAGGTCTCCTGTCCTCAATAATAATAATAATAATAATAATTTTATTTATATCCGGCCCTCCCCAGCCGAAGCCGGGCTCAGAGCGGCTAACGACAATAAAAGTAACACAACATTCTAAAATCGATTCATTTTAAAATCAATTCAAAATCAAATTCATGGCAACCATTGGGCTAGAGTTCTGTGAAGATTACCAAAGGAGGGGGTCAGACTGTGCCTTGGCCAAAGGCCTGGTGGAACAGCTCTGTCTTGCAGGCCCTGCAGAAAGATGTCGTCCCGCAGGTCCCTAGTCTCTTGTGACAGAGAGTTCCACCAGATCAGGGCCACCGCCAAAAAAGCCCTGGTTCTGGTTGAGGCCAGCCTAACCTCCCTGTGGCCCAGGACCTCCAAGATGTTTTTGTTTGAAGACCGTAAGGTCCTCCGTGGGACATACCAGGAGAGGCGGTCCCGTAGGTACGAGGGTCCTAGGCCGTATAGGGCTTTAAAGGTTAAAACCAGCACCTTAAACCTGACCCTGTACTCCACCAGGAGCCAGTGCAGCTGGTATAGCACGGGTGAATGTGATCTCGCAGCGAAGACCCCGTAAGGAGTCTCGCTGCGGCATTCTGCACCCGCTGGAGTTTCTGGGTCAGTCTCAAGGGCAGCCCCATGTAGAGTGAGTTACAATAATCCAGTCTGGAGGTGACCGTCGTGTGGATCACAGTGGCTAGGTCAGGCCGAGAGAGGTAAGGAGCCAACTGCTTAGCTTGGTGGAGATGAAAAAATGCCGCCTTTGTTATAGCTGCAATCTGCACCTCCATGGAAGAGTTACACCCAAAATCTTAATGGACGGTGCTGGCACTAATTGCGCCTCCGCAAGAGATGGGAGTTGCAAGGATCTAAGCTTGAGTCTCTTATCGGTGCCATCAGTTTAGTCATCTCTGCGTATTCTTTGATTTTTGTCAGCCATTCTTCCTTGGAAGGTATTCTTTCCTCCTGCAACTTACGAGCATAAAAATTTCTTGCCACTGTGATTACATTCCCTCCTGAGGCCATCTCTTTCACTCTGCGACGCAGCAGTAGCCCTCTGAGATCTACACGATGTTTTCGTCCTGTTTCATTCATCCGTTTGCTCCCCTTTCAGGGCGGAGGAGCCGGAGAGCGAAAAGAAAACGCCGGGCAAGAAAGGAAAGAAGGGCAGGGACAAGGCCAAGCGCCAGGAGCTGCCTTCTAAAGAGCTGCGGATGCCCGACACCGAATGCGAGGAAGAACGGCTCCTGCTTCCCAAGGGAGATCCCGGACCGAAACCAGCGCCAGCCACAAGCAGCCGGGTGGAGACTGCCACTCCACAGGACCCCTCTCCTGCCGTCCCCAGAGTCCAGAGGCCGAAGAAGAGAAGCAGGAAGGGGGTGGCGCGGGTGCGGGTGGGCCGCTTGGAGTTCAGCCGCCAGCGACTCCAGGCCTACGGCCTCAACGCAAAGCGCCTGCACTTCCGCCAGCTGCTCCGTGAGAAACGGCGGAGGAAGCCTAAGGAGGGCACTCGAGACCAGGCCAAGAAAGCAGCGCAGGCCTGAGCTATCCTGCTGCAGCTCATCTTTGGAGCAAAAGTTTCCTTTCCTTGGACAAGCGACCTGTTTGATGGCTGCAAGCGATGGCCCTGAAGGTAGCACTTGGTGCCTCTGGGCTTCAGGGCAGGATTTGTGCGGAAGAATGATTCAAATACATTGCCGGTTGATACCTTTGTCCCTCTTGGCATTTTGTATCGGCTCAATTGCGTCCTTATGTTCTTCTACACCAGTGTTTCCCAAATTTGGATCTCCAGCTGTTTTGGACTACAGTTCCCATCATCCCTGGTCACTGGTCCTGCTAGCTATGGATGATGGGAGTTGTAGTCCAAAAGCAGCTAGAGACCCAAGTTTGGGAAACCTTGTTGTAGCCTTGTAAGTCTGGGCCCATCACAGTGTCTGTTCTCTCGTCAGTCCTTACACAGCATCCAGACCATTTCTTTCCAAGACCTGGTTGGGGTTGGTGGGTTTCCCATAAAATGCAGTTGCAGAACCAGCTGGGTCCCATGTGGATTGGCAAAATGCTCTCAAAACTTTCCAGAGCTCCTGTGGCATTAATGAAGCATTCCTCTCTTTTCCTCTTCTTCTTCTTCGTCTTCTTCCTCATCAGTATGGGTAGGAGGTTGTTGGTGAATAGCTCATTAATTTGTCTTTTAATATCTCTTGAATTCCACTATCTCTTTCTGCAGGGACATGGGGGCCTTTAATTCCTGGTTTCTTTTTCCATTATATTTTTTATAGCTGAATAGCAGTATTTTTAAAAGTGGGAGAAGAAATCGTGAATTAAAACCCACAGAAACTGATGCTGACATTGAGGCAACAGAGAGGCTGTCACCAATTATCTACCTAGCTGCTCCTTGGAAAGCAATAAAACCAGGCTGTGAACATCGCCCAGGCTTGAGAGTTCAAATTACAGAAGGCTCATGGTTGTGAGGGAAGGGCATTGCTGGATCATCTGCTAAAATAAGTACTATGTGGAGCCTTCATCTTAATTCTGCTTTCACCTAATTATAGAAAATAAAGTCCTGGGCAGTGCAAAAGTGAAGTGGATAGTATTAGCTATCTAGTTTCAAGTTGCAAGCAAGCAAGTTCTGCAAGCAGTTCTCCTTTTGTAACTTGTTCCAAAAACTATACAAGACGAAACTATTTGCGTACTGAACCACAGCTGCATGGACTCTCTTAGGCCACAAATGGAAAGATGGCACAACTCCGACCAAAGAAGAGTGGCAGACTAAATTGATGAACTATGCCGAGATGGCAAAGCTTACAGGAAAAATTAGAAACCAGGAAGAGGAGGTCTTTAATAAAGAATGGGGAAAGTTTATAATTCATTTGAAAAGCTGTTGTAAACAATTACATACGTTGGTAGGATTGACAGAAAACTTGTAGTAAAGAATTGAACTATGATTTGACAAAGGATTTATAAGAAATAGAGTTATGATAGAGGTACAGAGGGGGAAATTGTTATGTTAAGATCCACAATTTGGGGGGGGAGGGTGAATCAGAAGAGCTTATATGTTTATGTGTTGAACTCATTTGTTTATGCAAAATAGAAAATGCAAAAATAAAATTTATTTAAAAAATCAAAAACCATTCCAGAGGCTGTGCTCAAAATAAGATGCTCATATTTTCTTTGTGGGAAGGCCAGGAGGGTCCAGAATTGGCTTCCACGGTCACTTAAAGACTCACTGTTAAGACCGTGATCACGGAAGACAATCTTACCCGGCCACGAGTGATCACCAAAGAAAGAAAACATAGTTAATGAGAGGCAAGCAGATCAAGAGCTGTGTGCCTCCTGGACACTCGAGCACTCACTCATTCACACATGCAATCTGCGAAACAAAGGTGGGATTCAGTCCAGACCCTGTTCAGCCTGGTTGACTGGACTACATGAAATTAGAAAGCGAGTGGCCCCCCCCAATCTTCTTTTCTTAACAAACCACAGAAAGCAGGCCTCTCCCGCTGGCTTCTCTAGTTTGTGACCTCAAGAGAACTTGCTAAGGCAGCTTGATGCTGGCATTAAACATGTCCTTGGGATCTGTAATCCTGAAGTGGGTGTATTGCTCCACAGGGGGAGGCCGGGGGTGGATGCAGAGAGGAAAATGCTGCATAGATGGGACCCAGAACAGGTCAGTTCGCTTCTTGAAATTCAACACGTAGCATCTTTTATCGGAGGGCTGCTGTGCGCCGCTTTTCCCTGAGTGTGTTCTTATGCTGTGCTTAGGCCACTAAGTCTTTTAACTTGCCTACAGCTATGCATTCTGTGTTTTTTATATTGAGATGTGCTCTTGTGCACCGCCCTGAGGTCTGCAGGTATAGGGCGGTATACAATTTTAATAAATAAGAAGAAGAACAGCTGGAAATGTGTGTTGGGACTGAACGACTGGCAAACTTCTTTTTTTCTTTTTCATTTTATTTTGACAAAGTAATAATCATAAATGAGAATAAAAATGTGCAACCCACCCCACCCCCAAGACCATTCCATTGTAACCAACCTCCCAAAATTTCAACACCATTTTAACGGTACAAATTCTATAAATGCCCTCCATACCTCCTCAAAATAATTTCTCCTGCATATTCCCCCGTCTTACCTTAATGGCACATGTTAATTTATCATTAATAGCTATATCCCCCACCTCTTTATACCATTCTTCCCTGTTATATTCTGCTTGCCCCTTCCTAGCTATCATAATCAATGCAGCTGTTAATAAATCTGTGAGCAAGTCCTTCATAGCCTGTGAGCCTTCCATCGCATCGTAAACTAATGATAATGCTAAAGTAAAGGTAAAGGTACCCCTGCCCGTACGGGCCAGTCTTGACAGACTCTGGGGTTGTGCGCTCATCTGACTCTATAGGCTGGGAGCCAGCACTGTCCGCAGACACTTCCGGGTCACGTGGCCAGCGTGACAAGCTGCATCTGGCGAGCCAGCGCAGCACACGGAAACGCCGTTTACCTTCCTGCTAGTAAGCGGTCCCTATTTATCTACTTGCACCCAGGAGTGCTTTCGAACTGCTAGGTTGGCAGGCGCTGGGACCGAGCAACGGGAGCGCACCCCGCCGCGGGGATTCGAACCGCCGACCTTTCGATCGGCAAGCCCTAGGCGCTGAGGCTTTTACCCACAGCGCCACCCGCGTCCCTTGATGATAATGCTACCTCTGGACTTTTGGTCAGCTTTAACCTACCAACTTCTGAAGCGTTTTGAGAATGTGCATCGGAATCAGTTCTGCTTTCAGGGAGCCTTGCAGCTGTGGGATCCTGAAACTTGTGCTGGCATGAAGGTGGAAACTGGCTGTGGTGCTTGGGTTCGGCAGCAGGAATGGGGAACTGGTGACAAGAACCTTCCCCCCCCCCCAAGCTGCTGTTGGGCTCCAGGCCCTATTCTCCAAGACCATGCTAGCTAGGGCTGTTGGGAGTCTGGAGGACTACACAATTCCCACCAAATCACTCTTTTTTATATATGTTTAGTTGTGTCCAACTCTTCTTGACCCCCTGGACCAGAGCACGCCAGGCACTCCTGTCTTCCACTGCCTCCCACAGTTTGGTCAAACTCATGCTGGTAGCTTCAAGAACACTGTCCAACCATCTTGTTCTCCGTCTTCCCCTTCTCCATCTTTCCCAACATCAGGGTCTTTTCCAGGGAGTCTTCTCTTCTCATGAGGTGGCCAAAGTCTTAGAGCCTCAGCTTCAGGATCTGTCCTTCCAGTGAACACTCAGGGCTGATTTCCTTAAGAATGGAGAGGTTTGATCTTCTTGCAGTCCATGGGACTCTCAAGAGTCTTCTCCAGCACCATAATTCAAAAGCATCATTTTTTTGGCAATCAGCCTTCTTTATGGTCCAAGCTCTCACTTCCATACATCACTACTGGGAAAACCATAGCTTTAACTATATGGACCTTTGTCGGCAAGATGATATCTCTGCTTTTTAAGATGCTGTCTAGGTTTGTCATTGCTTTTCTCTCAAGAAGCAATTTTTATATATAATTTTTATTAAATTTTCTGTTTTACAATTTAAAATACTCATTTTACATCCTTAAGTTATCAACGACTTCCCTTCTTCTCTTTCCATGGTTCATTTTACATACCATAAATCCTTGCATATTTTACAAAAACTATACAGTGGTACCTCAGGTTACATACGCTTCAGGTTACATACGCTTCAGGTTACAGATTCCGCTAACCCAGAAATATTGCTTCAGGTTAAGAACTTTGCATCAGGTTGAGAACAGAAATCGTGCCCTGGCAGCGTGGCAGCAGCAGGAGGCCCCATTAGCTAAAGTGGTGCTTCAGGTTAAGAACAGTTTCAGGTTAAGTACGGACCTCCGGAGCGAATTAAGTACTTAACCTGAGGTACCACTGTACCATTCAGTATTCCATTATTGCATCCATCAAAACTTGCTTACGCTGATGAATTTATCTTCATGCTGCCAGCGTTTTCAGCGTTTTCAGCTGTACACCGTTATTTCCCATGTATACAATAAACGTTTTCCAATCTTCTCTAAACGTATGTTCTTCTTGTTTTCTTATTCTATATGTTTAAGTCTGTGAGTTGTGCATATTCTGTCAACTTAAGTTGTCATTCTTCTTTGGTTGGGATCTCATTCGTTTTCCACTTTGGGGCTAACAAAACATGTGCCCCAGTACAATCGTATCTTGGAAGCCAAACGGAATCCATTCCGAAAGTCCTTTTGACTTCCAAAACGTTTGGAAACCAAAGCGCGGCTTCTGAAGCTCCTGCAGCCAATTGGAAGCCGCGGAAGCCCCGCCGGACGTTCGGCTTCCAAAAATAGTTCACAAACCAGAACAGCCACTTCCAGGTTTGCAGCGTCCGGGAACCAAAATGTTTGAGAACTAAGCTGTTCGGAAACCAAGGTAGTTGGTTTAGCATACATAAATAACCTTTTTTGATTCCCACCAAATCTCAGCACTCTGGGTTGTTTTTTTACTGAAGTCATTTCTGTCGCTTGCAGCCTTGTAGATATTATTTTCAGGGCACCTTTTCCAGGACTTGGGGCACCTGTTCCCTGAACTGCCCATCTCCCTTTTCTGATGCCTTCCAGATAACACAAAACCCTCCTCACCCAGGGAGGCTGTGTTACTCCTTTGCAACTCAGTCAGCATTTTATTCA